AAGTTACTTATTATAAAATTTTTAAATTTCTGGTACCTTTTTTTCTGTTAATAAAAATAAATTTAATCTGTTCGGTTAACGAATCTCCATAAAATGACGTGTAAAATTACAATTTTTTAAAATTTCAATAACTTTTTAACGGTTTAGTGAATCGATTTGTAATTTTTACAGGAGTTTTAGAATTGAATGAGGAACGTTCTTCCAAATTTTTATTTGTTTCATAGCATTTTGACATACCTCCCAAACATCCTTAACTATCTATAAAGCAGGATCATTTGCGGCTGTTTGCCCTACATATACATAATGTTTTATGTGGGTGCCTTAGTGTAGTGTGTATGACAAAACAGCCGCGGACGATCTGACCTTCAATGATTATTTTGCAAAGTTTGGTTCACCTGCATAGTCAGGTCTACCACCCAAAATTGATGGCATATTGCTTAAAGTTATCTGGTACTAGTACTACAACTCCATATATAATTTATGGTGAGTAATTTCACCCCTTCGATTTTTAGCATGGGCTTGTTGTCTGTTGTGTTTATGTGTTCCAATTAATTTATCGGTTACTCAGAGTTAATTATTTATTTAAAATACAGTCTAATTAATTTATCCACTTGCTTTATTTTCTCTTCAAATTGTTCGAAATAAAAACAATGGAATGTAATGTCTCTAAATCGTTTTGTGATCAAAATATTTTTAAGACTTTTAAAAGTGCGTACTGGCATACTACACATTAAATACCTACGAGATACGCAGGAGAACTGTTTAATATGTTACAGGAATGTTGTGCTTTTACGCTGTCTATGGTAGTTGTTTTCTAGAAACTGCTGTAGAAGATGTCTAAAAACGGAAAAGTGTCGTTTGATCGTTAATTATAAATCAGGGTCATTAGAACGAAGCTTCAGACTGGATGTCTCAGTGCCTTTGTAACCCATAAAAAAGTCGTGTAAAGAATTTTAAACATTTACTTCCGTAAAATCACGCCCATTAAAGTAATGTCTTCGATGCAGGTGCTGTTGCATGTACTTTGAACAGAAATGTGAAAAATACGATAGTTCACGAAATCAAACACATAAAGTTTCAAGAGAAATATATTGCGCTAGCAACAATATTATCTCACTGAACAGTGGCATCATCAGGAGTGGTGACATAATCGCAAAAGTAAACGAAGTTCATTCCATTTTATTATTCATTGAATATCCCTAAATGACTTAATAGCAAAAGAGAATGGTTGATAAACATTTCAGTTTGATTATATTATTGATAATATTTTGTTATGAATATATTGCACTGCTTGTTTCGAAATTTTTAATATACTGGAAGTATGAGGGTTAGTCATGAAAGTCTAGTTAGAGACAGAAGCAGGAATTAAGAGGGGTAGAGGTAGACCTAGATTAGATTACTGTTCGGAAATAGTTAAGGATGTGGGATGTTCTAGTTTTAGGGAAATGCGAAGATTATCTCGGGATAGGAAGAATGGAGGTATGTGTCCAGTCTTATAATGTATAAGTAGGTTATGTTTTAATATTGTCCTTAGTATGACCATACTTTTAATAATTACAGACTACTGTTGAAACAATTCTCGTGTTTGATCTCAATAAACTAGAAAAAAGTTATCAAATATTGTATCATCAGTCTGAAAAGTGTTTTGGACTTGCACCTCCACTGTTTCCTATCCGGAGTTAATCATCGCATTTCTCTAAAACTAGAACAAGCCCCATTCCTAACTATTAAGTGTTTCCTTTAAATATTTGTGTACGGGTATTCTATATTTTTTTTAATCAAGTCCCTTGGCGACATCCTATCTCGACATTAAAAAAGTAATTTCATCCCTAGAGTAGCGGTTCCTAAACTTTAAAGC